AGAGAGAGAGAGAGAGAGAGAGAGAGAGAGAGAGAGAGAGAGAGAGAGAGAGAGAGAGAGAGAGAGAGAGAGAGAGAGAGAGAGAGACATGCAGACCAGCAAGCATGCACACACATGGACTTAGAGAACTCAGTAACAAGCGGGAAACTCAGCAAGACATTCATTTCATGAGGAAAAATCAGAAAGCAGCTGTGTGTCTCAGTCCGTGTTTGGTCAGGTCATTACACATGAGCAGTAGTCATGATTTAGGGGGACTACAGGACATTGCTAGGGTTTAGTGTTTAAGCACAGCCAACCTAGAAAACAGTCTGACGGGGCAATACAGAAAGATCAAGATAGTAAGCCTCCACGGCTCATGGACTAAACGCAGCCAACCTTTAGCAGACGGGGTAGGGCAATACAGGACTGCTTCTTCAGCAGTCGAATGACGGCAGGTTGATTCCAGAACACACGACACAGTCTTCAGGCGATTTCACCCGACTTTATTATCATAGTCCTCCCGAAACTCTACGTCATTCTTGTCCACCTCTTTATCCTTCCAGTTCCTACTTCAGCTGAGTCTGCCTTCACACATTGCGCCCCCGTGCAGTAGGCTTGCTACGTGTGTATTTTGGATAGCCAAAGGGCTGAGAGGCCAGTCTCCACAGGCCAGATAGTATAAGAAGTAAGCAATGATGGGTGATGCTCCCAGTGGTTCATTTTGTACTCCTATGTAAGAGGGACGCTGGACCCGTTTTCCAGCCGGTGAAGCTCCTCACAAATCTATCCGAGCCATCCACCACAGGAGCGCAGGTCTTCACAGGGTGTTAAAAAAATCAGAAAAAAAGGGACAAGGAGACAACCTTTTTGGCAATCATTGTTGCTATGAACGCAAGAGTGTTTTCATTGTCTGCCATCAGAGGCGAGAAGTGCAAGGAGCCACAAAAGCTGAGATATCTGAGGTACCAATCAAAACTCGGCTTGAAGGTGGTGGTTGGGTGCGCAGGTGGGTAAGTTTTGGGGATCACTCCATGTGTATTGTGGCAGGAAGAAGCAATTATTGATTTCCAATCAAGTGTGCTTGTGTTCCAATCAGATACACAGTCACGTGTCTGAGTGATTTCCGCTCATGTGTATGAGGGCGAAATTGGTTAAGTTCTGGGCATACTTGCAACCGCACAAGCCGCACCCGCACAGATCGGATCCGTGCGGAGATCCGTACGGGGGGTGCTCGATCTCCGCACGAGCCGCACCCGCACAGACTGGATCCGTGCGG